CTCTCGCTGATTAGCCAATGAAAAGGGTAGCGGTCGTACGCCAATTACCATGTTTCTCTTTTATTAGTGTAGATAATGCAATATACCAAAGCCCATCGAACTGTAAAAAACAAAACAAAGTGCACTAGAATTTATACAACTGGGCATGAATTGTCTAGTTTTTTAAAGCTTATTTTCTAATTCACAAGTGAATAGTTTATAAATATAATAGAACTTTGGAGAAATTTGACAAGTGCCTAGAAAGGGGGCAAGATCCTCCCACTCAGGTCCAAAAAGGGTCTTTGGGTTGACAAGCCCGTTTTTATGCTGGAAGATGGACTCAGAGAGGGTCCAATAGAGCTCCTGGCCACATTGGTTGGACCTGGAGATTTTGCCAGTGGTCAGAGGTTACTTCTCCAGGACCTGCCATTACTAAGGCCCAAGCTGAGACAGAAGTCGGGAATGTAAAACAGAACTCTGTTCCTATTAGATGTGTTGGAGCTTCTGACCATCTCTGCAGGCAGGAAACCCCGGGGAGGCATGTGGTCCAGGGATAGACGGAAGCCTATCAGGTTTACTCACTTGTGTGAGGAGGGGCCAGGCAGGCAGCCCAGGGCGGAGAGCTGCTGGCTTTCACCCACTGATGTCCCTGCGCTCAGGTGGTGGAAAGATAACGGGGTTCTGGACACTTTAGGGGTCTGGATTCAAATCCAGTTAGTCTCTGAGGCAACGTGTTCTCACCTGTGTAAGAAACATTCAGCCAGCAAAAGTGACCATGGAGATTAAATGTAGCCCGGCTGGCATGGCTCAGTGGTTGAGCATCGACCTATGAACCAGGAGGTCACAGTTCGATTCCTAGTCAGGGCACATGTCCCGGTTGTGGGCTCAGTCCCCAGTCGGGGGAGTGCAGGAGGCAGTCGACCAATGATTCTCTCTCATCACTGATGTTTCTATTTCTCTCCCTCTCCCTTCCTCTCTGAAATCAATAAAAAAAAATACTTTTTAAATATAGCCGACACCCTCATGAAATAAGGGCATGTGGTGGTAGTGATTGCCCTGGCACAGGTTTGGGAGTCAGATGAGGTTAGTTTCAGTCCTAGTCCCACCACGTACATCAGCGGTTCTCAACCTGGGGGTCGAATGACCCTTTCACAGGGGTCGCCTAAGACCATCGGAAAACACATATATAATTACATATTGTTTTTGTGATTAATCACTATGCTTTCATTATGTTCAATTTGTAACACTGAAAATACATCCTGTATATCAGATATTTACATTACGATTCATAACAGTAGCAACATTACAGTTATGAAGTAGCAATGAAAATAATTTTATGGTTGGGGGTCACTACAACATGAGGAACTGTATTAAAGGGTCGCGGCGTTAGGAAGGTTGAGAACCACTGACGTACAGGGATGGGGACAAGCTCCTGGCAGTGAGGGCGCAGGGTGTCTCCCAAAATGAGCTCTAGTCTGTGCACCCCCCTTCTCTCCCATGGGGTGGCAGCAGCGGGCCCAGCCCTCAGTTTCTGTTTCAGTTCTGGCTGAGTCTTGTCCGCATTTGGCCCCTTGCCAGCCTTGGCTGGCCCTGGACTGCAGGAGGGCTTGGCCACCCCTGCTAGGGCCACAAGGGACACCCAGTCCCGGCCTAGAGCGGGGACACCAGGCTCTGAAGTGCCAGACTGATGGAGTGCTGGGGACCCTCGGGGGCTTCCCTGTCACCTCTGGCAGTTGGGGTGCCACTAATCATTCCATGGCTTTGAGCAAGTTACTAATGACCTGCACCATGAACACTGGAGCCAATCTCTCCCAGTGAGCTGGTGCCTTCCAGACCTCCCCTCACCCCTTCCACAGCGGAGCGAAGGGCTGGTCCACGTGGGGCAGCAGCCAGTGCTCTCACCCTGCTCTGCTCTCTCCCCACCTCCTCTGCAAAACCGGGGTGATGAGATGTGGCTCCCAGGACAGGAGAAGCCGGGATTGTCCTCCTGTCCTTCCGCGTGGCTGCCTCTCCCGCTCCCTCTAATGCCTGTGGCTGTCCATTCCTCTGTCAGCTGCCTTGTCGCCAGCCGTTTGTCCTGTCTTCTCTTTTCACCCATGTCAGAAGGTGGTGTGTGTATGAGTGTGTGTGTGTCTGTGTGTGTGTCTGAGTCTGTGTGTGTGTCTGAGTCTGAGTGTGTGTGTGTCTGTGTGTGTCTGTGTGTGTGTGAGTATGTTTGTCCGAGTCTGAATGTGTCTGTGTGTCTCTGTGTCTGAGTGTGTGTGTGTCTGTGTGTGTCTGAGTGTGTGTGTGTGTCTGAGTGTGTGTGTGTCTGTGTGTGTGAGAGTGTCTGAGTGTGTCTGTGTGTGTGAGTGTGTTCTGTGTGTGAGTGTGTGTCTGTGTGTGTGTGTCTGTGTGTCTGTGTCTGAGTGTGTGTGTGTGTATGTGTGTCTGAGTGTGTGTGTGAGTCTGAGTTTGTGTGTGTCTGAGTGTGTGTGAGTGTGTGTGTGTGTGAGTGTGTGTGTGTGTGTGTGTGTACTGCACACCTCATTTTTGGACTCTTGCTCCCTGAGTGAGTGGCTCTGGCTCTCACTCTGCATCTCTGACAATCGGCCTCTCTCTCTGGCTCTGTCTTCCTGTGTCTCCCTCTCCCCTGGGTCTGAGACTCTTGGTTGGTTGCGCGCTCAGTCCCCGCCTGTCTCTCTCTGTCCCTCTGTGTCTCTGTATGTAGTGCATGTGCCTCTCTCTCTCATGCTCTTCCTGCCTGTTTATCTTCTTCTCTGTCTCTCTCTCCGCGATTCTGTCTCTGAGTTTGTGCGCGTGTTTTGGTGTTAGTGTGCATTTGTGTTCTTTAGCGTGTGCTTTTCCACGTCTTCCTACTGTGGCTGCCTGTGTGTGTCCGTGTGTGCACTTCCATTTCATTCTTCCTCCTTGCCGCTCTGCGTATCTTACTCTCTGTGTGACTTGTGTTTACACATGTGTGCTTAGCGTGTGTGTCCATAACTTTCTGTTCTCTCTCCTCTCTCTCTCTCTCTCTCTCTCTCTCTCTCTCTCTCTCTCTCTCTCTCTCTCTCGTGTGTATGTGTCTCTCTGTTCACACCAGAGCCTGTCCGGCAGGGCAGCGGATGTGTGAGGGATGATTCAGTGGCTGACAGGAAGCCTGTCGCCTTGCTTGCTGCCCACAAGTATCTGTGGTGTTGGCGTCAGCTCCTGCAGGTGTGTGGGCTCAAGATGAGGTGGCCGCAGTGAAGAGCCCTCAACTCTCAGGTAAGCCTTTCCCGGAGCACCTGGAGCCTGGCCCCGAGGGCAGGGGTCCGGAGGCTGCCCCGACCTCCGACACCCCTGGGGGTTGGAGTGGCCTCTCCTGAGCACTTGGCGGCCTGCTGGGGGAAGTGGGAAGAGGTCGGGATGCCTGACACCCCTTCCTTTGGCCCCACTCCTGCCCTGGGGCCCCTGACTAGGGAGCCCTCCCCCTGGACCCTGTGGCACTCAGAGAGGCAGCCTGGTTCTGGGCCTTCAGCCACTTCCCTGCCCTCACCTTTCCCAGCCCGGTCTGCAGTCCTAGGAGGCCTCCAGGGTGGGCCCCTCACTTCCAGAGACTGTGAGTGGCCAGCACAGTGGCCCCCGGTCCATGCCCATGAGCTTAGGTTTCTTCATCCATGAAATGGAACTGTGATATCTCAGACACGGGGCTACGGACGGGAGAATGGTGAGACTCTACAGGTGAGCGTGCCTAGGTCCTGCCCCAGGCCAGACGGAGACATCTGTCCCGGCTGGCCAGCTCCCTGCTGGGGTCTGAGATGGAAGCCCTGGAGAGCTCCCTGTGCCCAACTCTGTCAACAGGTGGCCCTGGCCTTCGCTACCCTCCACTCCTGCCCTGGACAAGGGCTGCCCAGGCCCTGCACCAGTCACCTGAGCACTGAGAGCCTCTGTTAGAAGCCCCTGGGCCGGCCTCATCTGAAGGCCAAGTTATTGGGGAAAACGAAACAGACCCCAGAGCAGAGCCCAGTGGCTAAAGCCTTTTGGGGGCTGAGACCAAGGCCTCTCTCTCCACCCCCAGCCTGCCCTGCAGCCCTGGTGGGCCTCAGTCCCCCCATCGACAGCAGGTCAGGTGCCGGAGAATGGGCAGGATCATCTCCCAGGGCCTCTGGCGGGAGGCGCAGACGCTGAGGCCCACACTGCGCAGCACTGAGGGCTTTCCCACACAGCTTGTTGCAAACCTTGTTCATATGAAAACTGCCCACTTCCCTTTGTGCTATTTTGGCCTGCAGAGCCACGGGCTGTAACAGCCGCCCTCCTACCCCACCCAGCCCTGCGTGGCTTCTCGGGGCCTCTCTCCCTCCACCCTCTCCGCCCCATCTGCTCTCGGAACATGGGTGGGAAGTGACGAGAGAGGGCATAGGAGTTTTACTCAAATTAGTCTATTTTTAAAAATATATTTCATGATTCTTAAAAATATAAGAAAAAGGTAAAGGAGTGTGGCCTTCGTAGGCAGCGTGCCCCGGGCTTTGGTCCTGCTGCCGTGACCGGCCAGCTGTGTGAGCCTGGACAGAGTGCTTCCCTCTGGGCCTGGTGTCTCCGCGTGATGCTGTGGGTGTCTGCGCCAGCTAGCTGAGGGGCTGGGGCAAGAGCCATGCTCTCTTCCCCTCCCAGCCCCCCTCAGGTCCCAGCACAAGGCCCACGTCAGGCAGGGGAGGGAGGCTTGGGCCTGCCTGTGTGGGGAGCAGGCAGAGAAGGCTCTGGAGAGACCTGCTCCCAGACCCAAAGGCAGCTCTGGCCCCAACAGGTGGCAGCTGCCCCTGCCCCGGGAGCCAGGTGATGGCCAGTCATGACAGTCACGGCCAGCTGTGCCCCACCTGCCCCAGCACCTTCCATGCCTCATCTCGATGCCAGGCCTCATGTGACAAACCCAGGAAGAGTGTCATTCTTCCCCCACTTAACAAAGGGGCAACCAAAGGCCCAGGACACTGGGATTCAATTTTTGTTCCTGGCAGAATTCGCATTCTCCTCCCCAGCCTCCCCCAGGGCCAGGGGGTGGAGACAGACCAGGGCCACCCCTGAGGGTGCTTCACCTCCGGAAGCAAAAGGGCTCTCCGATAGTCAGGGTCCCCTGGGGTGGAGGCCACCCTTCCCCAAAGGTCAGCAGGTCATGTACCAGGGCTCCGAGGGCCAGCTCACGTCTGGAGTCTTAAACAGCCCCTGGGGGTGGCCGGTGGTGGACTCATGTCCCAGCTCTCGCAGGGGGCATGTGTGCGGCCCAGCCATGTGTCTGTGCCCAAGTCTCCTTTCGGGACAGAAAGAGTCACCGTGCTAACCAAAGGACAACGTTATCGAGGATCCAGAGTCTGAGAGAGCTGTCCAAACTAGCCGGCCAGAAATAAGACCCTCCGTGTGTTTCTCTTAAGGGAGCCCCAGCCGTGAGCCTGGCTGGATGTGATTGGCCCCCATTTTACAGATGAGAAAACTGAGGCACAGACAGGAGTTGACCCCAGGAGGCCTCCCTCTAAGGCAGGTGTTCCCAACTTCCAACAGCCCGAGGGGACTCAGGAGGCAGGGCAAGCTGTGCAGACCAGCAGGGCAGTGCCCAGCCCCTGAGAGGAGGGGAGCGGATCCCCTCAAACAGCATCGGGGGTGACAGGGGCCAGTCCTTCTCCCCACCTGGAGGCTGCTCTGTGGCGAGATTTGGGAATTCCCGTGTTCCCACTGACTCACTCGAAACCACGTCTGGGGAAGGAGGGGGCCGGGCCCCTGGTGAGACTCCGCACTGCGGGGAGCTGTCTTGTTGGCTTTGCCCCAGATTCGGGAGCTCAAAGAAGTGAGGGGACAGCCGGGGGCACACAGGCCTCAGGGGAGCCCGAAGAAGGAGGTGGGTCCATCTTCTCCCTAAGCCTCACCCCACCCCCAGCTGTAAAGAGGGGGAAGCCCTCCTCCCAGGTGCCTGATGCAGGATGCACAGGTGTGCAGAGTGGGTACTCAGTGCAGAGGCTCCGTGCACCTGGGGCACCGGCCCCTCAGACAGCCCCTGCTGCCCTCAGCCGTGTCCCGGCTATTTTGAGGTGGCTGAGTCTCTGGGTAGTTTCAATGATTCTCCTTGGAAACTCCCTCAAGGGGGCTGACTTTGCCTTCACCAGACCCTGGTGTGCAGATGTGATCACCAAGACCAGACAATCAGAGTGTGGCCCTGAGGCTGTGGCTGGGACCAGCCACTAAGACAGCAGCCAGCAGGCAGGGATTCAGGGCCTCCTTGCCCTGTAGCCTCTCTCCTCCAGCCTCACATCCCACCACTAGCCACCATGGGCCATACACCAGGTCCCTCTGAGCTCGCTTCTCCCAAGCTCATCAGCCCACCTCCTCCAAGAAGCCTTCCCTGATCTCCCTCCTCCCAGCTCCCAGGGCAGGAGGAATCTGGGTGCACGGATTTTTAATGAATGGAAATCCTGCCCCCAGTTCCTCCGGGAGGCCATGGATGGGGTAGAGAAGTGCCCACGGTTGGGTGAGGGCTGCTGGGAGGTCCCAGGCAGAAGGGTCCACAGACTCCGGGCTTGGGGAGTAAAGCTGGACTTATAGGAGGGAGGGGATGCAGTGGGCAAAGCCAGAGTTAGGGTCTGGATGCTGGAACTTGAATACTGTCTTTACACTTAGCACAGTGGTTCTCAACCTTCTGGCCCTTTAAATACAGTTCCTCATGTTGTGACCCAACCATAAAATTATTTTCGTTGCTACTGCATAACTGTAATGTTGCTACTGTTATGAATCGTAATGTAAATATCTGATATGCAGGATAGGCGACCCCTGTGAAAGGATCGTTCGACCGCCAAAGGGGTCGCAACCCACAGGTTGAAAACCGCTGATGTAGCAATTGGGAGATGTCTGGCCTCCGTTTCTTTATCTGTGAAATGGAGCAAGCCCCTCCCTCAAAGGGCAATTGTGTGGATTAAGCGAGGGTGTATGCAGCAGTGTGGACACGCACATGGTGCTGCCTGGTGGGTCCCCAGAACCTTCCAGCTCTTACCACGTGTTGATCCTGGCCTTGGGGGGTCACGAGTCCAGGTTTGGGGTCAGACAGAGGAATAGGTGTGGTCCCGCCCTGGCCCTCCAGCAGGGTGGGAAGGGTGCTCCACAGCCTAGACTCAGCTGTGAGGCTGGCAGGGGCCAGTGGGGGTAAGGAGCCTGAGGGTGTGGGGCTGGGCGGTTTCCTGAAGGGGTAGCCCCCTCGCCCTCCCACCCTGGTTCACGTGGCAGCGTTGCAGGAAAAGTGCACAGGAGCCGACATGAGTGCGGAGACGGAGCTGCTGTGGCCCGGGGTGGCCCTCCTGCTGCTGCTGGGGGCAGTGGCCAGCCTGTGTGTTCGCTGCTCCCGCTCAGGTAAAGGTGGGATTATGATGGGGAGGAGTTGGAGTATGATGGGGAGGGGTTGGGGAGGGGAGCTCATGGGCACAATGGAGGAGAGGACAGTATACCCAGCAACTCGCACAGGCCAGGCCTGGCTGTGTTTGGGAGGGGCAGTTAGATAAGCCTCATAGGATGGGGGTGACTCCCCCGAGGGCTGGCCCCAAACTGCACCTTAACACCATCAGCCTGGTTCACTGGGGGGCTTTGTTTGGGTTTGCTGGGTCAAGGGGCATGTCTGGGGCAGGGGGTTGCTCTGGACAAGGGAGGAAAGGCTGGGCTGGCTGCCTGGGGCGCCCACCTTCTCTACGCTCCGCTCTCTGAAATAAGTAGTGAGAGACACCATGTCCATGTCCGGTGGCCCTCAGTGATCGGCAGGCCCCCGTGTCCTGTCCTAGGACAGGGCACAGGCAGGCAGGATGAGGGGGCCTTGGGTGTCAGTTCCACCCTGGCTCTGGACGCTTGCTAATCCGGTCCCGTTTTTGCAGGTGCGAAGCGACCGGAGAAAATTTATGAGCAGAGGAACCTGTGAGTGCCTCCGTGTCCCCGGCCCGTGACTGCCTGGGGTGTGGGCACCCCCTCAGGCATCCGGCATGCTGTGCCTCACCCCTTTCCTCACACCTCCTCCAGGCTGGGCTCTGGTGGGTCCCAAGCAGCCAGGGAAGGCGAGGGGGCACCCAGGGCTGCCCAGGCCCTGCCCCAGCCCAGTCAGGGCCTCAGGAGGAGGGGCTGCCACGTCCCCACTCGCCCTAGAGCATCTGCAGAGATCCCCCCTGTGAACCCAGACCAGGGCAGCCTGCTGTGCGGGTGGGGGTGGGTGTCCACAGAGGAATTCGGCCTCTTGGTGCCATGAGGGGCTGGGGGTGTGGGGCAGACACTGGGCACAGAGCAAAATGTGAGCTGTGTCTACATCTCCCTTGGAAAATGCTAAAGGAGCCAGGGAGGATGTGGGCACGTGCCTGGGGGATTAAGGAAGGCCTGATAGAGGAGGTGGGGAAGATTTTTTTTCTTTTTCTTTTTTTGTAATTTAAATCTTTATTTATTTATATATTTATTTTTATATATTTTATTGATTTTTTACAGAGAAGAAGGGAGAGAGATAGAGTTAGAAACATCGATGAGAGAGAAACATCGATCAGCTGCCTCCTGCACATCTCCCACGGGGGATGTGCCCGCAACCAAGGTCCATGCCCTTGACCAGAATCGAACCTGGGACCTTTCAGTCCGCAGGCCGGCGCTCTATCCACTGAGCCAAGCCGATTAGGGCTAAACATTATTTTTATGGATCTGAAAATTATTTTTTGCTTGAAAGAGAGAGATTGGGCACCAATACTATTTCTTTAGTTTTAGGTTTTTTGCTTTTTAAAAATATGTTTTTATTGATTTTTTTAGAGAGAGGAAGGGAGAGGGAGAGAGAGAGTGAAACATTGATGAGAGAGAGAAACATCAATCAGCTGCCTCCTGCACTG